AAAAAAAAAAAAAAATATCTTGTTCGCCGTCATCGTCGTCGCCGGAGTAGGTTGGAGTTTTTCGAAATTTTTCGAAATCCGAAACAGAGAGATAGAATGTGTAAAGTAAATAATGAATATATTTTTTTTTAATTAAAAAAGGCAAAATTGACTTTTAGGGACAGTAATTATCGAAAAAGGGCTTCGTAAATCGAAATTAAAAGGGTCCCATTTGATATTGAAAATCTCTATAACTAAACTAATCCAGGCATAGAAAAATGATATTTTCGCGGGAACCCCACGTGCCCGCCCCATTTGGCACACTCTTCTTTGCATGCAACTCCACCAGAGCTCCGCCGCTCAAACGCAAACAATATCACTCAACGAAGGCGTTTTGACTACAGATCCATGTTGACTTTTCCATCTTTACAGAAAACGAGATCTACGGCTGCGACGCCAACTTAATTTAATAATAATGAAGATATAAAAAAATTGGCAAGCCTCCTAAAATTTTGTGCACGAGCCGAACCGTAGGACTTGCCTCCAAATCCAATTGACTTTTAATTTAGTTTTTGCATGGAGAGTACACCTTACATTTTCTCAACCCCCATTTAATTCACTCCAAGTCCCAATTTAAACCTTTTATTTTATGTTCGATGGCGGCAACTATATATGTAAGATGAAATAACAATAATGCTTACGGCGATATAATGGACTGATAATGATTATAGATGGTGTAAATATATAGTGGTTGTCATGATAGAATTGTAAAATTATAAAATCATGACCATGTCCCTCTCAATTTATATCACATTTTATGTTAAAAGTACAACTGTTAAATCAGATGAATATTTCGTGAGCTCTGTTCGACTTGTTGAGTTAATAAGGTAGGCTAGATAAGCTTCTAAAAGTGATTTTCTTTATATATAGTTTTATAGTTTAGCTCGTAAATGTTCACGCTCGGCTCATTTATATGATAAATGAGTCGAGCTCGAGCTCGATTGCTAACTTGTTAAGTATTCGGAATTGACCACAATCGTCGAGCTCGACTCATTTACACCCTGTTATGGATCTGTTAATTGAAGTCGAGGAATTGGATGAGATGGAGGGATTGTGCGACGATGAAGGTGAAGAGAAGAGAAAAATCGAGCTTGAAGAAATGGTGGAAATGACAGCAGATAGGGTTATGTCCGAACATGAGCAAGAAGAGGGGATCTCGCCACGTGCCACCCTCATGACCGTTGATCAGATTCAAAGAGGAAGCGATCCAGTCGTACACGGGCGCACTGGAGTGAAGCTGAATTTTGCATTTTCATTGTTATTTTTATTATTTTAGTTTCCTTTTTATTTTGGCATCTTTTGTCTTTAGTGAGTTTGTTGAGAGGGTTTTACCCAGCTAAGGGAAAAACAATTGGGGCCCACTAGTTTGTTAAATACCGTATGAGTGAATGAAAAAAAAGCATCAAATCAGTTATTCACAAACTCATTTCTGCCTTTTCTCTCCTATTTCTCTCATTCTCTCTATCTTTCTGCAATCTATCTTCTCCCTTAATCTTTCTAATTTTACAGAAAAAATATACAAATTATTCACAAAAATTACAATATCATCGCGGGTCATTACATTTGGTATCCAGAGCCAGCCTTTCTCGGACCATGGCTGAGGGAACAAGGGGCAGGGAGCTGCAAGAATTTCAGAAAAGGATGGATCAACTGTTACAGACGGGAGTTCTAAAAAGAGAAGCCTCAGAACTAAAAATGCAAGAGAAAATGGAGGCAATTAATTCACAAATTAAAAAGGTAATTGAAGGTGTTAACCTAGAGCTGTTTGAGCAAAAGTCTGAAGTAACAAGTCTGAAGTAACTGGCAAACTTGACCGGCTAGCAGATACAATAGCTTCCCTGCAGCTTCAACTCCTAAATAGGCAAAAAGACAGTGATGATGAAGGATCCATACTGGGCAAGCATAGGCTTCAGTTACAGCAAGAGCAGGCAAGCAAGCAAAACAATCACTATATGAATCCAGCCCCAAAGATTGAATTTCCCAGGTTTGATGGTTCCAACCCCAGAGCTTGGATTTTAAAATGCAGTGGTTATTTCAAGTTAGTGCCTAATATCTCTAAAACCCAGAAAGTCATACTTGCTTCAATGCACTTAGAAGGCAAAGCTGCTTTATGGTTCCAAAACCTAAGTGCAAAACAACCTGAATTGAATTGGAGTCAATTTGTTGAAATAGTGTCAGCAAGGTTTGAAGAGCTGAAAGAGGTTAAAATTATTGCTAAATTTAACAAGTTAAGGCACACAGGTTCTTATGCTGATTATGTTGACAAATTTGAGGAGTTGAAGGCATGTATGCAACTCATGAATCAGGGGGAGTTTTCTGAAGAATATTTCATAGCTAGTTTTATTAGTGGGCTCAGTGAGGAATTACAGGCATTTCTACACATGTTTAATCCAAAAACTCTACAACAAACAATTGAGCTGGGTCAGCAACAACTCCACACACTGGATGCTATCACAAAGAGAGTAAAGAACACTCAAAGAACATACTCACAGCTGCAACACCCAAACACTCAGAAAGCCACCCCAAACAATAACCCCATTCAGAGGGCACCCCAGACTCCTTTTCAGAAAGCAAACTTTAAACTGCTTACCTCCTCTGAAATGGCTGCAAGAAGAGAGAAGGGCTTGTGTTATAATTGTGATGAGAAGTTTGTACCAGGGCACAGATGCAAGCACAGGATAAATTATATGATAATGACTGAAGATGAAGAGTTATCATATTTTCAGTATGAGAATGTGAGTAACTTAGAAAATACTGAGAACAATGAAGCCATTGAGGAAGTGCACATATCCTTGAATACTATGGTGGGTGAAGGGGGTTTGACCACTCTGAGGTTTTATGGATACATTGGGGATAAGAGGTTACACATTCTACTGGACACTGGGAGCACCTTAAGCTTTATCAAAGAATCTACAGCCAAATCATTGGGGTGTTCATTAAATCCAGTTAAACCATTGAAGGTGAAAGTGGCCAATGGACAGAAACTTATCAGTCACTTACAGGCTACTGATCTCAGTTGGGATATGCAAGGACAAGAAGTGACACACTCTCTTAGGGTGCTGCAAATTGAAGGAAGTGACATCATTCTGGGAGGAGATTGGCTTAGGACCTGTACTCCCATTGAGTTAGATTACAACACCATGACAGTTACTATTAACTTAAAAGGAAAGAAGGTTATATTGCAGGCCTTAAACCCAGAGGCCAGTTGCCACTTAATTTCTGAGCACTCATTACTCAGTATGCTCCATTCTGAAGAATAAGATCAAATAGAGGAGGTGTACATGTTAACTATGGAGGTCCAGAGAGCAGGTAATGGGAAGGAGGTCCTAAAACCCATCTTGGAGGAATATCAAGACATTTTTCAGGAACCTAAGGGACTTCCACCAAAAAGAGAAATAGAGCATCACATTACACTTAAAGCAGACAGTTTACCTAAGCAGCAATACCCTTACAGGGTGTCACATGATCAGAAGAACACCATAGAGGAGATTGTGCAGGAAATGCTCAAGTCTGGCATTATTCAGAACAGCAAATCACCCTTTGCTGCTCCAGTACTTCTTGTGAAAAAGAAGGATTTGACTTGGAGACTCTGTGTGGATTACAGATACCTAAACAGCCTCACTATTAAGCATGAATTTCCTATTCCAGTGATTGAAGAACTACTTGATGAACTACAGGGTTCTAGCTGTTTTTCAAAAATTGACTTAAGGTCTGGCTATTTTCAGATCCTACTGAAGGAAGAACACAGTCCACTTACTTCTTTCAAAACCCACAGTGGGCACTATGAGTTTCTGGTTATGCCATTTGGCCTCTGCAATGCTCCTACCACATTTCAATCTCTAATGAATCAAGTTTTTCAAAACTGCCTAAGGAAATTTGTGCTGGTGTTTTTTGATGATATCTTAATCTACAGTAAATCATGGGAGGAACACTGTGAACATCTGAGAATTGTGCTGCAGCTATTAAGGGACAACACTTTGTATGCCAAGCAAAGTAAATGTCAGTTTGGTGATCCTACTGTGGAGTATCTTGGGCACATTATTTCAGCTGAAGGGGTATCCACTGACCCCAAAAAGATTCAAAGCATGCTCTTGTGGCCCACACCAACCATAGTTAAGCAACTAAGGGGATTTTTGGGATTGACTGGTTATTATAGAAGGTTTATTAAGGAATATGGGGAAATCAGCAAACCCCTAACCCTTTTATTGAGGAAAAACCAATTTCATTGGGGGAAAGAAGCAGATGAGGCATTTTCCAGGCTCAAGAAGGCCATGACCTCTGCACCTGTGTTGTCACTACCTAATTTTTCTAAACCCTTCATAGTTGAGACAGATGCCAGTGGGTATGGCATTGGGGCTGTGTTAATGCAGGAGGGTAAACCTATTTCATATTTAAGCAAGTCACTATGTCTCAAAAATCAAACTCTCTCTGTTTATGAAAAGGAATTCCTAGCTGTCTTAATGGCTGTTCAGAAATGGAGACATTACCTAATGGGGCACAAATTCATCATAAAAACAGACCAACAGTCCCTCAAGTATATTCTAGACCAGAAAGCCAACTCTCCTTGGCAACAAAAGGGGATCATCAAGCTTTTGGGACTAGACTATGAAGTTCAGTACAAGAAAGGGAAAGAGAATAGAGCTGCTGATGCTTTGTCTAGGGCAAGAATTAACTCAGAAGGATGTGCATCTACCACAGCCTTGATTCCAAAATGGGCACAAAAGATTGTGGAAAGCTATGATGAAGACCCATTTTATAAGGAACTGAAGGAGAAACTACTGCTGTCTCCTGGCTCAGTACCCCATTATACATTGCAAGGGGACATTATCAGATACAAAGGAAGGATTAGCATAGGCTCAAATCCTAATCTAAGGGCAGAACTAATATCTTACATGCATTGTTCATCAGTGGGGGGCCATTCTGGGGTCCAAGGTACATACATGAGAGCAAAAAGAGTTTTTCATTGGGTGGGAATGAAACAAGAAGTGGCTACCTTTGTGTCCAGGTGTGATGTTTGCAGAACCAACAAGCCTAGTCATGAGCCTACCCCTGGTTTGTTACAGCCTCTACCCATTTCCCAAGAACCCTGGTCTCACATCTCCATGGATTTTGTAGAAGGTTTACCTAAGTCAGGAGGGAAGGACACTATTCTTGTGGTTATTGATAGACTCACAAAATATGGACACTTCCTGGCAATATCTCATCCTTACACTGCACAGGGGATAGCTAAGGTGTTTCTAGACCATATCTACAAGTTACATGGGATGCCAGTGTGTATAGTGACTGACAGGGACAAAATTTTCACTAGCAATTTTTGGAAGGAGCTGTTTAAACTGATTGGGGTTACCTTGAGCTACTCTTCAGCCTACCATCCTCAAACAGATGGGTAGACAGAAAGACTAAATCAATGCATGGAGAATTACCTGAGGTGTATGACACACCAATCTCCTAAGAAGTGGGCTAACTGGTTACCAATGGCTGAGTATTGGTATAATACAAATTATCACACTTCACTGAAATCTACCCCATTCCAGGCACTTTATGGCTACCAACCTAACACCTTGTCAACTAAAGCCTACCTGGACTCCCCAAATCAGGATGCTAAGGATCTTATTCTAGACAGAAAACTGATGATGCAGAACCTAAAGAACAATCTGCTGGAAGCCCAAAACAGGATGAAAATGTATGCTGACAGGCACAGAACTGAAAAGGAGTTTGAAGTGGGAGATATGGTTTACCTGAAGCTGCAGCCTTACAAGCAAAACTCTGTCCAACTGCGGAAAAATGTCAAGCTGAGCTCAAGGTACTTTGGCCCCTACAAAATCATTGAGAGGGTTGGTCAAGTCGCATATAAACTAGAGTTACCTGAAGGCTCTAAGGTTCATCCAGTATTCCATGTGTCTTTATTGAAAAAGAAGTTAAGTGAGGGAAACTCATCTGTTCATAAACTTCCGGATCTGGGCTCTGACGGACACTTCAAGGCAGAACCCACAGAGGTGCTCGATAGCAGGACTGTTCTGCGTGGTCATGAAGAGGTACAACAATTTCTGGTAAGTTGGGGTGATAAATCTATGGGAATCTGTTCTTGGGAGGACGAGAAACATCTGAAGGCAAAATTTGGGGGTTTTGATCCTTGGGGTCAAGGATCTAAAAAAGGAAAGGGAAGTGTTATGGATCTGTTAATTGAAGTCGAGGAATTGGATGAGATGGAGGGATTGTGCGACGATGAAGGTGAAGAGAAGAGAAAAATCGAGCTTGAAGAAATGGTGGAAATGACAGCAGATAGGGTTATGTCCGAACATGAGCAAGAAGAGGGGATCTCGCCACGTGCCACCCTCATGACCGTTGATCAGATTCAAAGAGGAAGCGATCCAGCCGTACACGTGGGCGCACTGGAGTGAAGCTGAATTTTGCATTTTCATTGTTATTTTTATTATTTTAGTTTTCCTTTTATTTTGGCATCTTTTGTCTTTAGTGAGTTTGTTGAGAGGGTTTTACCCAGCTAAGGGAAAAACAATTGGGGCCCACTAGTTTGTTAAATACCGTATGAGTGAATGAAAAAAAAAGCATCAAATCAGTTATTCACAAACTCATTTCTCCCTTTTCTCTCCTATTTCTCTCATTCTCTCTATCTTTCTGCAATCTATCTTCTCCCTTAATCTTTCTAATTTTACAGAAAAAATATACAAATTATTCACAAAAATTACAATATCATCGCGGGTCATTACACACCCTTATGCGTGATTAATGAAATAATTGACACACTCATTAATAGATTTAAAGAAATCAAATTGATTGTGTATACGTGGTTGACACATTAAGATGTGCTAATCAACCAATCTCATGATATTATTTCAATCACATAATCACTGTTTATACTAATTTTCTGTCACATTAATTGGTCGACAACCATAGAACAAAATTGGAGTATGATAGGTGTAACGCCCCGTTCGTTTATGAATAATTTTGGATTATTATTATTATTATTATTATTATTATTATTATTATTATTATTATTATTATTATTATTATTATTATTGTTGCCTTTATTATTAATTGTTATTTGCCTAGTTACCTTAATGAATTTATGTGCCTAATTGTGTATATTAAATAAATATTAAATTATGGAGATTTTATATAATTATTAATTACTATTTTAATTTATCTATTTAATTTAATTTAATTTAATTTAATTTATTCATTTTAATTTATCTCGTCGAACCGAGCATCCGGTCGAACCCCGCGAACCGCGCTCGTAGGCCACGTCCAGCCAACCCTAGCCGCCCCCTTTCCCTTCTCTCCTTGTATTTTTGGTAAGTGGAGTGATCATGGGGTCTTTCCTTTTCTTTTCTTTGGAGTAACTTTGGCAAGTATCAATTTGGAATTTCTACCATAACTTGAGGACTCTATTTATGGGAGAGATCAACCCCCTCCCCTCTATTTTGTTTTTCACGCAGATTTCTCTCATCTCCCTCTCTCCATCGTTCTTCTTCTTTTTTTTTTTTT